TTATTTATTTATTTATTTACTTACTTACTTACTTACTTACTTACTTACTTACTTACTTACTTACTTACTTACTTACTATCCCACCCATCTAGACCGAAGTCTACTCTGGCAACTTAATAAAAAGATTCATAAAAACAATAGCTGTATAAGATAACAACAACATAATATGATACAAGATGGCAAAAAATAAATTAAATAATAAAGAAGCAAAATAACTATGCAAGGGAAGAAGCAAAATAATTTTGCTTCTTCCCTTGCATAACATTCTTTAATAAAGAGCCTCCTAATTTCCCTTTCCTAGCAGCTGTGACAATTGATCACTTCCTTCTTTAGCAAAGAAAAAATGTCTCTTTTTTATGAACAGAAACTGACCACCAGGCTGGTCACTGTGGAATGGGAAGCGGCTAATTGGCCACTAATTTAAACAGTGCAATTGCAGTGCTAGCGATTGCTTTTTTTTAAAGTGTGGGGGAAAAATACTACTTATGGTTAATAGCTTCATTTTGTCAGCGTAAATGCTTTTTCTCAGAAATGTGTTTATCTATATATCTTGGTCTTCTCTTGAGGCCAACAAATGTACAGGGTTCCCTCCCCAAGAACTGCCTTTCAGACTTGGTGCTGGGCCCTGGTATAAGTGAAGTGAAAGTATGCAGAAGATGATAGAGCAAGAAAATAAACACATTTGGTCAACTGCCTTGCACATCAGTGCAAATATGCAGGGCAACCGGTCTCTGCTCCTGTTTACTTCTCTTTCCACCTGCAAGTCTGGCTGCTTTAGAATTCAGGCTTGCGGTTTTATCTGAACCTTTATGCAAGTCGTTTTACCTTGAGCCAGACCAATCGGGGACAGCCAGCCACTTATATGTCTGGTTTTTCAACTGGGCAATCTTCAGGCTCCTGTACAGAATAATGAAGACAATGATTACGAATTGTAGCATACGTCCCATGAAGCCAAGACAGTGTACATGTTTCTTTTCCTCCCAATTTTTATCCACAGAAGAACCCTGCGAGGTAGGTCAGGCAGAGACAAAGAGAAAAAGACACTAGCTAGATCTCAGATCTTCTAAGGTTCAGTCAAGCCCTTTAATCATCACATCACAGTGGCTCTTGTAAAAGATGGTATAAGCTATCTCAATGGCACACACTCCCCCCTCATTTTCTCCCTCCCTCCCTCCCTCTCTCCTTTACTTCTTTCGCAAATAGAAGCTTTCAGGGTGAGTCACTGGAAGTTCTCCGTTACAAGGAAATTTTAGTCTGGGAACACCCAGAGAGTTATTTTCCTGGTCAAACTGAATGGCCCTTGGCAAAATGGATCAGTGGTCAGACCCATGGTGCCACTCTTAGATAGATGACTCCTTATCTTATGCACCAAAAGGTACTCTGCAACTATTACGCCTTTTCTTTCTTGTAGGAGGAAGGGTAGGGGACCCAAAAGCATCACATGGAAGAAATAATGTGAAGCACAGAAATGGATAGCAATGTAATCTGAACCCCTCAACAATCCTGTGAATGAAGCCCCCCAGCAGCAGACGTAGAGCTTGGAAAAGTCCCTTTTATGCACTACAGATGCTCCTCCACCACCACCACTGCCAGCACGGCTATAGCAAAATCTTGGATTCTGGGAGATGTCGTCCAAAAGGCAGCCTAAGACATTTTGCTACCTGAGGAGGACCAACATGTAGTGTGTGGGAGAGCATATATGTCCACAGATCAAGGCGCATAGACTCTAAACCCGGGCACGGTACTTTGGCATAAAAGGCAGAAGAATTGAACCAGTTCCTCTTGCCATTTCTAGTATAAAACAAACACACACACACACACACACAGAGTAAAGAACTAACCACTTCCTGCCCACTCGCCCCACCCAAAGTCAGCTGCTCAAGGCAACCACCTTACTTGCCTATGGGTCGGTTAGGCCCTGCAGAGGAGAGGAAGTGACAACATACAGTGTAAGCGCCCCAAGTTGACCACTGGCAGAGCATGACAGATGTCACAACAGCCCCTACGCTCTGCAATCATGGGTATCTCATCTAGCTGTGATGCAAACTTCGCATTCTATGTCTACCCTCACATACCCATTATTCCTTAAAAAATGAAAACTGTCCACAGAACAAAAATTCCCCCTTTTCCCTTCTTTCCAGCTCTCTGCCTGCCTCCCCAAAAAATCCCTCCCTCCACAGATTTTTCCACTTGAGACAGGGAGAAGGTTAAGGTTAGGAGCAAAAGGGTAGAGTTTTCAAGTGCACAAAGAGCCACAAAAGCTGAAGACTTGAAGGGAGAAAGGGCAGACAAACCTCTCCCCGAATACTTTGGGTTTCTTTGTTTGTTTTTAAATATATATATAAAACGTGCTGAAACAGACGAACAGGGTTACCTCCCTGAAAAATCTAGAGAAAGACATGCTGAACTCTGTGCACCTCCTCACTGGAACGGTATATTATGGGAGGGTTAGGGTTAAGAGGAACCACCCACAGAACAGCATTGTCTTTGCAGAGGAACAGCAGCGGATGTTTTTCTTCTCTTGTGACACAGCATCAGCTGGAAAGGTTTCATCTCTTAAAAAAAAAAAAGACGACAATTCCCAGCTTGCTACGAGATCCTGCCCTGCTAGGTTTGATTCATTGGCCTTTTCCCCATCCCCACCCTTGCCAGAGCCTCTGTTAATGCCAAGTATGCACCATGTACAGGAACCCTGGCATTTTGTGAATAGGGCAAAAAAAGAGAGCTTAGCACGGACTGTATTCAAGAGGCCAAGTGGATCTAATGGCTCAATATGTTAAATAGGAAACTTGCAGTTCTTAGGTAGGCTGGGGTGGGTGGGTTCTAGGTGTTGTCGTCTGAAAAAGAACCTTTTCCAAGCTCTGCTGGAGAGGCGCCACATGTCGGAGCAGATAATCGTGAGACCAGAGACCTTGCAAAAGCTTCCCTCCTCTCTGCTTACCACAGAGGGAGTAGGCAAAATTAACCTCAGTGGCTTACCTAGCATTGTACATCCATGTTAACGTTCTGTCCCTATTGAGAGAGGAACAAACAAAATAGCAGCTTAATGGGTTTTATTCTTCATGCTGTACTACTTTTCTTAACAAGTGGATTGACTTGTTACCCTACCCCACCCCACACCCGCTGCAAGAAAACCAATAGATCCATGCTTGGATCCACATGATTAAGCAGGATGTGTGTGTTTGTGTGTGTGTGTGTGTGTGTGTGTGTGTGAGAGAGAGAGAGAGAGAGAGAGAGAGACAGAGAGCACTACAGATTCAAATTCTGATTAGAGAAGATTGCATGATCAACTTCACATTAACTTTTATGAGTACAGTACATCTCATAAATTCATGAAGGATTTATCTGTCAACAGTTACTCACGATTCCTGACAGCTCTACACTGTCAACACCTTTGAGGTGAAGAGTGCCCCTGAATATCAGCTCAATACAACCGAACACCATCAAGCCATCTCTTTAGCCATTGGTAGGAGGGATGTGGCTGAGGCCGTAGCCCCCACAAGCATTCTCCACCACCACCGATTCACTCAAGAAACCTCAGCTCTGGCACAAGACAAAGGCTCCATTTGTGTTTCTGCCCCTCCTTTCCTTAGTGAAGCTAAGTCCACCCATACCAAAACAAGCACAATGGGACATTCTGATTGATCAAAAAGGTATGAACAACCCATCCAATGCTACTGGTTTCAGTAGTCCATGCATGTTGGAAAATAAATACATGGTGGCACCTTAAAGATTAACTTTTATAATTTTTAACGTGAGCTTTTGTGGACAAGTCCCCTTCATCAGACCATGTTGGAAGATATTACATCTCTACCAATACTGCACATTTTATAGTCACATGCATTTTCTCTGAAACCAGAGTAGGGCAACCTCACCGTTTCCTGACAGCTCAGAGAGAGGAGAGCGTTTTTTGAGATTACTCACACAGAATGTTTTCTGTAAATGTATAATATCTGTTAAAAGTAGTCTGTGCAACTATGGGAAGCTTTGGTCTGAACCTGAGCTTGGAACGCTAGGCTAGCTGAGGGGGATGATGGGAAACAGTGTAGTTCAAACATTAACTCTTCCAAGTTCCCAGGAGGTTTTCTTAATGTAACACAGTGGTTAAACTGCTCTACTGTAGCCAAACTCTGCTCACAACCCAGGATTTAATTGCAGGTAGCCAGCTCAAGGTTTACTCAGCGGTCCATCCTTTCCAGCCAGCAAAATGGGTATCCAGCTCATGGGAGGAGGGGGGCAATATGTACGTAGGCTACATCAGTGGTCCCCAACCTTGGGCCTCCAGTCAGCAAAATGAGTATCCAGCTCATGGGAGGAGGTGGAGGGGGGCAATATGTAGCCGACATCAGTGGTCCCCAACCTTGGGCCTCCAGATGTTCTTGGACTACAGTTCCCAGAAGCCTTCACCATCACCACCTCTGCTGGCCAGGATTTCTGGGAGTTGAAGTCCAAGAACGTCTGGAGGCCCAAGGTTGGGGCCTACATAATTAACTTGTACATCACCCAGAGAGTGCTTTAAGGGCGGCATATAAGCAGGACATTTTGCTTTTGCTTTTTTAAATGAAAATTTCCATTCTTTTAAATTCACCTTCTTCCCCTCCACATATACTGGAGGTTTTGTTTTGTTTTTTTGCATGAACAGTAAATTCCAGGAGATTTCCAGAAGATCAGGTTCCCCTTTCTTTCTTACCTGTCCAGGTATGCAAAAACTGCCAGCGATAAGACCACAAGGAAGAAAATCCATAATAATGTTGTCTTCCCCCTGGAGAGTGTCATCCTTAGCAGGAAAAAGAAGAAATCAATGACAGTTTACTGAACTGAGATCAGGGACCATAACCTGGTTCTGGGCTGAGATGCAATTCCGCCATGGGAGCATCTGACGTTTATTAGTTACTGATTAGAAGTAATTTGTTAATTGCTCTTTTGCTCACTGGGAATGTCTTTTTAATTTGCAATAAAACAGCCATTTTAAAGGTCAGATTAAAAATGAATTTAAAAGCTAGTTTTAAAAGCTGCCCAGCCTGAGAGCTGGTTTTTGGTGGCCGTATAGATACAGAATGCACAAGTGGGTCTTAGATTAAATCAAGCCTGAACTACCCCTGGAAGCAAACATGTTAAATCTGAGGGCTGTCCCACTTTGGATATGTCATGAGAATGCAGGATTTTTCTGGAAAAGACCATAATGCTGGGAAAGGTGGAAGGCAGGAGGAAAACAGGAAGATGAAAAATGAGACGGATTAGCTCCCTAAAGGAACCACAGGCTTGAGTTTACAAGAACTGAGCAGCATTGTTAAGAACAGGACATTTTTGAGGTTGTTCACTTATGGCGTTGCCAAAAGTCAGGGGCAACTTGATGGCCCATAACAACAACACAGATATACAAATATAATTCTAGAAGGTGGTTGGTTTGGGGTGGTGGCTCTAATAAGCATGTACAGGATTGTAACTTTTACAGAGAAAGCGAGAGAATGACTGGATATGGCCTGTTGGTCAAAATATTTGGTTTGCTGCTAAGCTTGACTCCTTTCTGAACCATCTTAGGTCCTTGTTCTTGTGTCTAAAAGCTATTAAGATTCCAAGCAAACACTTTACCTCTTGCTGATTGTGGGGGTCTTATCACTTGAGATGTCAACATCAATTACTCGATCTCCAGGTGCAGGCTAAAGTAACTGGCCTTTTTTGCTCTATAAGAAAAGAGTAACGATAAAAACAAAAAAAAATCAGCAATTTTAGCACTCATCAGAGCTCAGGAAAGCAGATTTAAAAGTAATTGGTTACAGTAACCGTTCCAAGACCCCAATGAAAGAAGTTACTTGCTACTTGCAGGTTTCGAAAAAGTAATTAATTAATTTCTTATTATTCAAAAGTAAATTAAATAGATACTTTCTAATCACCTAAATAATAATAATCAGGACGCTACAAGTCACTCGGCCGTGATACAGAACACTCCTAACTACTGAAGCCACATACCACAGCTGGGAAAATTTCCTGCTTTAGACTACAGTACCCAGAATCCCCTTGCTAGCACAGCCAATATGGGGAGGAATGGTGGGAACTGCAGCCAAAACTGCCTGGAAGTCTCTCCTGCAGTCAAAAGATGATGGCTCTGAGATAGCCCAGGCATTTACGGTAGGCGGCCAAAAGAAGAGCATAGAGTGAGAGAGTCTCTGAAGGCCTGTTTTTTGGCAAAAAAATTTCTCTCTGCGTGAGTCATCAGGAGTGGGCCTGGGGGTGTCTGATGCCTCAGAAAGTTTGGCAGTTCTACACCACCACATGTGTGAAAGCCTCAGCCATTCACATGCATAGAAAGAGGGCAGCCCCAGTGGATCAGCTTTTATCTCTCCACACATGCTTGGTGTGCGACACATAGTTCAAAACATATGCAAGCCGAGATCCTTGATAACACCTCCCTCTATAATCCCCGCTCCACAGGTAGTTAAAGGCAAAGCTATAGTGTTTGAAGGTGAAGTTGGAAAGCTGACATCACTTTCAAAACAGAACAGGAGAAACTCACCCAGCAAAGCCTGAAATAAGACAGGAGCTACCCAGAGGTTGGAAATGTTACTTAAAAAAAAAAAAAACACCATTCTCAGAATACGCCAGATAGCATAGCCAGTAGCCACAAAGGATTCTGGGACTTATAGTCGCCCCGAAATTAAAAAGAAACTTTTCCAAGGTCTTCTAGTGCTCAGAGTCATTGCTGTCCATCACCTTGGCTCCCACCTCCTGCATCCCTTTCTGTGAAACAGAGAAATGTTCTATTTTGAGGGGGGTCTCTTTTCGTTCCGTCAACATCTCTGCCCACGTGATCAGATCTCTGTCATTGGCTCCGGTCCTGCATACGTAATGGAAGACTATCTGATGGGAATGGCTTAGAGAAGGGAAAGCTCCCTCGGCCTCGTTCCTGCATCTCCAGCTGGTCTTAATGACACAAAACTATTCTGCCTTTTTTTAAAGTCGGCAACCTTACTATTTATGGAACATACTTGGGGGGGGGAGTGTAGATGACGGCTCAGAAATCTCACACCATGTCTATTCAATGGCTAAACTACATTTCATATCAAATGCCATCCCTGCATTTAAAAGAGCCCTGATTATTGTCCCAAGGTACACAAACAGCAACTGCTGGAGGGGGGAGAACAAATGATTTCCTGGTTCGCAAGAGGCTTTCCTCTTCAGTTCTGGTAAAGATGGAAGCCCCACCTTCAAAACAGGTATTTATTGTACCTCCCGACTAGGGTTTGCTTACTTCAACGGTTCCCAACCATTGGGTAACCGAGGTGTTCTTGGACTACAATTCCCAGAAGCCTTCACCGCCAGCTGTGCTGGTCAGAGGTTTCTGGGAGGTGCAGTCTGAGGACATCTGGGGACCCAGAGGGTAGAGTACTGGATTAGGATTAAGGAAGCCTGTTGCAGTCAAATTTACTCAAGGCTGGGAACCACTGGCTCAGATAAAGCACCACCCTCTATTCATAGTGCAGCAAGGGAGGTGTCCTCTTTTCAAAGGTGCTGTTTATTCAGAGGGCTGCTAGTCCAAATTTGGTTCAAAGAAGAAGCGGGGGGGGGAGAGGGGAGACTTTGTTGCTGACCACCCACCACGAGCAGTGCCTGGAAATGATCCCCACTAAAGACTGGTAGCAGTTTGACCCCAATTTAGTCACCACAGCTCCAACCTACAGAATATTAGGATGTGTCCTTTGGGAACCTTTCTGCTACAGAGGCCCAGTGGATTCCCTGGAACTACAGCAGGGAATTCTTAGTTCTTCCCAAATCATGGGTCTAAGAGGATTTTGCTTCTCCTCCCCCCCCCCCAAAAAAAGGTCACACTGAAACAAACCTTTGAAGGCACCACCAGACCCGTTTTTCTTTTTCCTTTTGTTTTCAGTGAACATGCTGCAGCAGACTAACCCAGCGACCTCTCTGACAACTGCTGCAAAACTCAAGATTCTTTAAGATGATGCCATGAGCCCTGAAGTGCTATCCAACTGCTAGAATGTTGTAACATAAATGTTCAGCAGCAGGAGCACAAAGCCCTCCTGGGTCACAGTCTCCCTGGCTTGAATGACATGGATTGTAATTCTGCTTAAACCCTACAAATAATTTTTCAGTTTTGCATCTGTCCATTAAAATCAGCCTATGCAATTTTGTGCAAATTAGCACCCTCTTTTGTAATTGTGTTTGTGTGTGAGAGAGAGAGATACGCTCCCTCTGAACTGTCCATCTCAGAGCAAGGATCTGGTTCAGAGCTGGGATATTCCTCAGAACTATAGCAAGGGAAGGAAGGGTTAAATCCACACCCACACCACTGCTGTGGTTCTAGCCTTAATCAGACCTGTCCCCAGCTGATGTTCTTTGTTTTCCTTCGCTTTTCAAAGGCAAGCCAGGTCTAGTTCTATTGTCCTTAGAGGGACGCACCAGGTGAAGAGAGAAATACATCTCCATCTCTCTCTCAAAAAAAGGAGTGTGTTGTTCATTTGTAGTGACCTCTTTTTGCCTTTTTTGTTGTTTTGGGTACAGAACTGGACGGATTGGTCAGGCAATGGGTAAAAAGACAGTACAGTATCTGCAGACGTTGCTAACCTGAAAAGCTACATTCCACCCCTTGAGGCACACCGGGGGGGGGGCGCTACAGGTGACAAAGCACAAGGCAGCTAGGTGGGATAAGGTGTTGGCAACCTCAGAGCCTAAAGCTATATTTCAGCCTGAGGGAGGCTGTCTTTACTCTAAGGCAGCCTCCCACAATCACACATCTTTCAAATGTGATGGACTACGATGTCCAGCAACCCTGGCCACTGCTGGTTATGGATGGTAGGCCTTGTAGTCCATCATACCCAGAAGGGGCATGGTTGAAGGAAGCTAGTTTACACCTTCCCAAAGTATAGCAGAGTGTAGCGCTTTTAAAGGGCTTCCTTTCACCAGAAAAAAATAGGAGTGTGATTTTTCTGGCTCCTCTCTTTCCCCTGCGGCTTGATTTCTCTCCGTTATGAATCCATCATCTGCACAGCTCCTCTGTTCATAAGGCAGCAGCTATGCCAAGAGGGGCAGGGTCTCAGCTTGAATCAGACTCATGCCCAAGAGCATGCAGAACAATAATTTGCCCTCAGGCTGTGCCATCTCTCTCCTTTCACCCTATTAATATTTTAACAATGCGATCTGTTCAAGGTTGCCATCTCCTCTCCCACCTCAGCTCCTGTGCAGGGGCATCATTGGAGAAATCCAACAGGTGAAGCCCCACCCTTGGTCGTTCTCTCTCCGTACTGAAAGAAGTAGAATCTCTTTAGTTTTTTTTGCATGCTGGACAGTTCCTGAAAACATGAGAGCAGGAATGAATAATAGAATTAGTAACTCTGGAATCCTCCTAGACTCTTTTTGAAGCCTTTTTAAAGATAGACTTCTTTGAGATTTAACAAACAAAGGGTTATAGGTGTACGTTTCACATATTCTTGATGTTTGTTGTATTTATGCCAGCCTTTTCTCCGGGGATGCTCAAAGCACTCTACGTGGCTCTGTTCCTTCCAACAGTTTCCCCACAACAGCCCTGCGAGGTGGTGTGTAGGCTGAAAGTCTTTTACTGGCCCAAATTTTACAGTTTGCAAATTGCCGTAGGCAGAATATGTAACCCATCAACCTTGTTTTTTTAACTGTTCTCTTTGGTAAGGATATGTCTCATAAATTAATAAGGATCCAGAGGGCAGGATTGCTGTAGCTGGTGCCTCGGTGGTTGAGACATATATAAATCTCTCATAAATCATTTTGTGTTGCTTCCTTCTTCCTAGGAGTTCATCTGAGGTTGCTTCTGGCTTTTAGTAATTTCTTTTCTATAAAGACATCTTGCTTGGTCCATTGTTACGGAAAATTGAGGGGCTATCACTGCCAGCAAGACTTTTTCCTATTCCCCCCCCCCAAACACCAAGTTTGTTTTGTGTTTGATTGGGGCATTACGGCAACCGTTTTCCATATGCAGATTAATGAAAACAAGATATAGGGACTGATTTCCAGCATCTGCAGGTTGTCTTTCTGCAAAAATGCCAAGAGACCATGCTCACAAGGACCTAGGTCAACAAGTACATAAAAAGGATTCCTTACTCATTGTAGTAAAGAGGGATTACAAAAGACTTCAAAAGAAGCTTTCCTAACACAGGAAATGGTCCAGAAGGTGACAAATGTGTCTCAATGAGGTGAAGTAAGCTGGGGATGCTTCTCTAAGGCAGCTCTGTAGCCTCTTTTAGTGGCCTAAAGGCGGTTCCTTCTTTGGAAGCATCCTCCATTTGACCAGCTGTATAGTCCCATTCTGTCATAAAGACCAAGAAGGGGTAGGGGTTAGGGTTCAGAGGCTTGGAATTTGCTCATCCTCCACTGTAAACAGCACCTGGGCAGCAGATTCATAACAAGACACAAAGGTCACCCGGATGCTCTCTTCCCCATTCAGGAAAGATGTATTGTAATCATACTTAGATTATAAAAACTGTTCCTGGTTTTGCATCTCTACCCATAAATTAGCCAGGACTACAGTACTTTATGAAATTTGGTATCATCTCTCAGAGGTTTGTTTTCTTTTGGCAATGCACATCTACCTTTTCTTCTATATGTTAAGCATTACTTGACTTCCTCCTCACATACACACATCCCTGGGTAGGCCAGAAAGTTTCCCCTTTCCCAACAAGGCCACTAACAATCATTGTAC